ATGGGAATTGGCCCAGCTGTCGCAATCCCAGCTGCTGTGAAGGCTGCTGGCTTGGAACTTGATGATATTGATCTCTTTGAAATAAATGAGGTGATATTTGAATTGGGAATTTCTGAAGCAAATACATGTTGGACTTTGGATCATATCATTGATATTTTGCTTTTACTTGACATGTAAATAATACTTGTTTCAATGCCATCTTGATTTTTCAGGCATTCGCTTCTCAGTTTGTGTACTGCCGTAAGAAGTTGGAACTTGATCCAGAGAAAATCAATGTAAATGGAGGGGCTATGGCAATAGGGCATCCTTTGGGTGCAACAGGTACTTAGATTTTTTATTTTTTCTGGGTGCCTACTCTAATAATTTTCCCCAGTTGATGATGTTAAATTAAACGAGATACAAGTCTATTTGTTCTAAGCTTGACATGTATCTTGGGAGCTCCTGGTTCTATCTTGTCTATGTCTCACGACCTAGTTTAATTTTCATGACAAAATTTTATGGCGGGTTCAGAATTTGAATAGTAGATGGTTGAGAAGAGTGTTCTTGTTGGATGATCAATACGGCAAATTGCCAATATATAGCACTCCATATGTTGTTAACTACTTGGCCAAAATTATATTATAGTCTGTCTCCATATAATAGGTCCAACATTCTGGATTTATGAAGTTAAAAGTTGAATTTCCCCATGATATTATTTGAATACTAAACTTAAAAATCCAAAGAAAGATGACATAAGATTGTCAGTAGTGATGTAAATATTTCGTGGGAGTGTCTAGTATTAGGGGCAGAGGAGTACTGCCTATTTGGAGAGTTATGCATATGTTGTTAGACGTGGTAGTACTTTTGTAATCAGGTTTCTTGTCGCTTCTGGTCTGTTATAGGTGCTCGTTGTGTTGCCACCTTGCTGCATGAGATGAAGCGTCGTGGTAAAGACTGCCGATTTGGAGTTATATCAATGTGCATAGGTATGGGGTCTTCTTATTTCCATGTTTGCTGAAATTATACTGATGGTAAACAAACTCGTGGATCTTTGAATAGTATTTGACCCCCCCTTTTTTTTGCAACTTCAGGAACTGGTATGGGTGCTGCAGCTGTTTTTGAGAGGGGAGATGCTATCGATGAGCTATGCAATGCTCGTAAGGTTGAAACCCATGGTTTCCTATCCAAAGATGCTAAATGATCTTTTGGAATAGCAAGCAACTGGTGAAAAAGATTTCGAATACAAATATTTTTCAAAATGTACTCTTGTCACCAACTACTATATCCTAGAATAGATAAAGCCTAGTATCCGAATTCTGAACACTTTCTGTTCTGGTATTGAATGTATTGCAGAAACTTCAGTATTCATCTTTTAAATATTTATAATCTTCATGATAATAAAATGTGCAATAAATTTTACTAGGCAGCTCACCCATCAAAAGCGCTGTAGTGTTATATCTCTAAGTCTCTAACCGCCTCTGTTCATACTCTCGTACTGATTGTAAATGTATACAGAGTGGCAGAGGGTGCTAATAATTTTAATTTTTCTGGCATATGTTACCTTCGTTAAATATAGTTATCACATATTAAGTTAAAATTAACTATAAGTATTTTTATTTTCGTTTGAAACCAATTAACTATAATTATTAGGAAATTTTGGTTTTAATAATCTTAACTTCGGTTGATTCTTGAATAATTTTAACTTTATGATGTATTTTCGTCTAACAATTTTAGTTACTTCACGAGTTCACAAGCTTACAAGCGATGTGTATCACGCACACATTTACGTAGTTGTATGTATATATATATATATATATATATAGGTTCAAGTGAGAACCTCTCTTACAATAAGAACTCATTTTAGAGTGAGAACTTTTCATCCTATCCGTTGGATTAAAATGAATGGCTCAGATTAAAGGATTTTAATTAATGACTATAATGACCCCATATATAAGCTTTAAAAAATCAGCCCCTTCCCCTTCTTCTTCCTCTCTCTCTCCTCTTGAGTTCTTCCTATTCTTCTTCTTTCCCCCATAAAAAATTAGAACGGTCCTAAATGCTTTTGCATATCATTTGAGCAGTACTTGAACTTTCTTATACTAGTATTACTGATTCTACCTCTAACCATCAACATCTAACCAAAATACAAAAATAACAACTACATATATTAGGCTATGTGGGAGTTGAACCCACACCTTGTGAACAATAACACATTGCTCTACCATTTGAGCTAATAGCCTATAAATCAAAGAGATTGAAATACATATTATACAATCAAATTTAAATTGTAAGCTATTTTCATTTGTGGTAAAGACGTTTGTGACATAAGTGCAAAAAAGCTCAGAACTCATTCCAGTAATATCCTTTAATAATGACAAAAAGTGCACGAAATCATTGCAATTGATATCATGCATTCATATTTTCAAATTACAAGATTGAAAATGAAAGATCCAGAATCATAATATTCTGACTAATTAAGAACCCAAAAAATAAATAAATAAATAAAATAAAATTGGGAGAATAAAAACTTTAAAAATATACCTAAAAAATTGCTGCTCATCATTCATACAGATAACTCAATTCGCTATAATTAGATCTACATTTTAAGCAAAATTAAGGTGGTCGAGCCACATAACCTTGGGCCATAAAAATTTGTGAAACGCTAAACATCGCCCGCAAATCTCCACATAAAGCCCACAAATTTGAAATGAAATGACATTTTTGCCCTCAACATCAAAAACACACTTTTATCTTAAAACACACTGTTATGGCTAATAAACGGGAAGTGGCGGCACCGGAGGCGGTTTCGCGGTGGAAGTAAACAAAGTCGCCGGATCGCGAAGGAGCCGTGGTGGCAGCGCCCCACCCAGGCGCCACAACCAAGGCTACTGGCGCCTGGCCAGGACGCCACCGCCACGGTGGCGGCGCCTGGGCAAGACGCCGTGGCCACGGTGGCGGCGTCCACTGAAGACGCCACCACCGTGGCTACGGCGTCCTGCCCAGGCGCCGCCACCGTGGCGGTGGCGTCCTGGCCAGGCGCCAGTAGCCTTTTTTTTTTCTTTATTATGTTTTTGTTTCCTAAATTTTTTTTATTATTTTGGTTTTTTCTTTCTAATTTTGTTTATTTTTTGAATTTACTAAAGCATATTTTCAAAATAAATTAATATTTTTTTTTGTTTTTTTTAAAAAAAAATTCAAATTTATCAAAATTCAAACAAAATAAAAAAAAAAAAAAATAAAACCAAAAAGAAAAAAAAGATTTAAAAAAAAATATACCGAGGAGGTGGCGCCTGGCAGGACGCCACCACCGTGGCTGGGGCGCCTGGCCAGGACGCCACTACCATGGTGGCGGCGTCCTGGCCAGGCGCCCCAGCCACGGTGATGGCGTCCTGGCCAGGCGCCCCATCCACGGTGGCGGCGTCCCGGCCAGACGTTCGCCGCCAAAACGTGATTTTTAACCACTTCAGACCTCGTTTTCCGGCTACGACGGCGGCTCTTTGGTGTCCCTCGGCGATCCGGCGCTGTTCCACATTTTGGGTGAGACAAAATTTCGTTTTAGGTTAAAATTAGAACAAGGGCAAAGTTGTCAAAATTTTATAAATTGTGGGCTTTATGTAGAAAAACGCGGGCGATGTTTAACAAGTCCCAAAATTTTGTGAGAAATGGAGAAGAAGATCTATAATATGTAAAATAATGAAAAATTGAATCATTACCATAGTTTTTGAACATGAAATAAAAGAACAATTGCTCATCATACGCAAACCATCAATTTGAGGGACAGGGAAAAAACAGGAACAACTCAAGAGGAGAGAGAAAGAAGAAGGGGAAGGGGCTGATTTTTTTAAGCTTTTATATGGGGTCATTATAGTCATTAAATAAAATCCTTTATCTGAGCCGCTCATTTTAATCTGACGGATAGGATTACAAGTTCTCACTATTAAATGAGTTCTTATTGTAAGAGAGGTTCTCACTTGAACCTCCCCCTATATATATATATATATATATATATATATATATATATATATACACACTAAAGGCGAATAAAAAATGACACGTGGTAAAATCAGGTTAAATAATTTCCCTCCAATTTTTTTTTCCCTTTTTTCGTCAAATTATCTTAGGCAATTTTAATAAACTATAATATTTTCTTTCCTACTTAAACGCAATCTTTCCGTCCCAAATTCAATAAAACATTTTTGTAACAACTTATAGAAAATTTAAGCAAAATAATATTATTTAAAAAGATATGCATAATTTTTAATATAATTAGCAGAATATCGAATTTTTTCATACTTATTATAAAAAAAAATCATAAAAAAGTTGTTGAAATAAAAATATTCATAAATTTTGGTAAATCCGTGCATTGCACGGGACCATAAGCTAGTGTGTGTATATATATATATGATCTTAGAAAAAAAAAATCTAAAACTCGTTTACATGTCATAAAAATACCTATTAGATTTGACACTCGGCGAAAAACTAGAATGACAAGTGTCGCTGTCTTGTAGCCTGACTGCGAATCCGGCTTTATATATTAGTGATATGATGGATTTAATCGGACATTATGCTCATTAAATTGAGTCCTACACAAAATGGGGCAATCCTTTGTTCCAAGGTTGGACTGGATCGAGGGTAGAAAATCTAAAATGCACGATCAGTATATCACACTGGATCCAAATCAGATTTTAGAAAATTTTAGTGCATTAGATAGATTCGCTATTATTTCCTAACTTAAATTTTTTAGTTTTATTGCTCTTATCCCTAAATCAAAGATTCGTTTTATTACAACATTCCAAAGATTCACTTTATTACAACACACTATATAATAAATTACTCATACCCGTATGTTACAATTACAATAAATAATCAAAGCAAAATAGCTTACCATAACTTACATATTTGTTGTCAAAAATTCAAGATCATGTTTGTTTAAAATCTTGACTTCAAAATGAACCAATTCCTAAACCGGGTTAACCTCGAAGTAGATTAGTCTCATAAGACCATAGCGAAGTTGACATCCATCAAATAAAGTCAAAAAACCAGTGGAAGTTTAAAGAAAACACAAACGCAAGTTGAAAACACGTACAGCAAAATTCGGTATCACTGTCCTAATTTCATCTCCAATTTCATCTTCTTGTTTTTTCACCGCTCTTCTCTTCCATTTCTTGCCTTCCATTGTTATGGCGGACCATCACCACCCTCACCAACCCTCCAGTTCCGGTAAACCTACTTCTTCCCTAAATTTATTTTTCTCTATCTCAAATTTGGGTGGGTTTTTTTTTTTTTTTTTTTTTTTTTTTTTTTTTTTTTTTTGACATTTTAATGGTGATTGATTGTTGTTTTTCATTATGTAATCATTTTTTCGTGTTGCATATTTTTTCTCTTGATCTGGGATTTTGGGTTGATCTTGGATTTAGGAATTTTCAAGCTTTTATCAGAAAATTCATGGGATTTTTTTTTGTTGTTATTATTTTTATCCATTTTGATGTAGGCATGTAGCTTAACTTTTGAAATTTAGCGGGTTGATTTTTAATTTTTTTATTTCTTGCATTTTATTGATGTAGATGTTGCCAAGATTATGTTTTTGAATGTTCTAAGGTAAGTTTATATGATTTTGTTTTTGCTCTAATTTGATAGGATGATGGGTTTTCGAAGGTTTGAACATTGTTTATGAGTGACGGAGAATCTTATTGGGTTTTGAACTGTTTGGCCTTTTTAGGGTTCAGGAAGAAGAATAGTCGCTTAGGTGCTAATCTCAACTTGACGGGTCATGTGATTGATTTAGAATTATTATGGAATTTGGGTTCAAAGTTGTAATTTAAGTCATTATACATTTTAAATGCTACACTAGATGTTGCTTTATGATATCAATATTACATTATTACAGTATTAGTCATTTCTATGGCATACATTATGAAGCAAGGTTGAATGTTACTTTGCAATACTAATGCAATTCTATTTACTGAATTCTTAGTGTCTTTGAAATTGCATGTTTGTCCCTGTTGCTTAGGATAGTTGTTCCTTAGATAGCTTCTTTAGGTCTTTCTTGAATTAAATATTGTCAATTATAACTACTTAGATTTCACAGGAGCATTGCCTTATCTTTCTGATCATTCTGTAAGCTTACAAAACTTATGTTGTATGCATCTAGTCCATAAATTGAAACTAGTCTGGTCACATTTGATGCAACAGTTGCAGAATCAAGCAGTGATGATTATAATATCTAGAATGTCTTACGGGTTTTTCTCAAGATTGTTAAATTTTTTATTGATATTTGATGGGACTTGCTTCTGCTGTATAAAACTTAGTCCATCTGTATTTTTTTCTTTGCCTATGAGGAATATACTTGGGAATTTCTTTGCTTCCATATGCTATTGTTATTTATTCTCAAGTTAGTTGGATGACTTTCACCTTAGAGATTTGAGTGACACAGTTTAAGAGTCTTTTCCAAGCTCTTGATAATTTGTATGGTTTGAGTTTCTGATGATTGAAATTAGTTTTTCCATGACTACTGATATTGCCTGAGAATTTCTATTTTCTTTGTTCTGTCTGTTGAGCAATTGTGTTATGCGTAAGAATCTTATTTCAATGCATCTCAAATGTCTGACTCTGTGATTGAAGGGGTTTCCTGAAGTGACAACTGGATTGAGAGAAGGTTGGTTTTTTTTATTACATGTCTTCGTTTTGCTCTCTTGAGTTGGGCATGTAATTACTATACATAGAAAACTTCAAGGGGATACAAATTGATTCTTGACATGTTGGTGAGGGTCTTAATGTTTTTGAGTTGTTCTAATTTACCAGTTTTAGGCCCCAGTTAATAATTTGCAAGCAATTAGAGGGCTTTTGGAACATAGGATAGAAACTAGAACTGATGTAAGTAAAAGTACTAGCTGATGACGGGCTTACTTACTGATGGCCAGTGAAGGTATTTCGATGCTAGAAGGATTTTTCTTTTTTCATATAGTTCATGCTGTTTCATCTTTAACCTTGAGTGTGATTTTCCTGTAAGGTTGAGTATCTCCATATTCACTTGCACCATTTTACTGGTCCTCTCTACAATAATTTATTTTACTGGAGAAGTTTCCTAAATTCTCTTTTCTTTAGCTTTAATATTGTGTAAAGCATATATATATATATATATAAGGTAAATTCCTCGTGTTTGTCTTCCACTCTCTGATTCTAAAGCTTGTTTGTATCAGAATGTGATTAATTTAGAAGAAGTGCAAAAATAATTCTCAACAGCTTTCTGTATGATTTGAAATGTTCTCTTTACTTTTTAATTTGATGGGGTTGGGGATGCTAAAGCAGGTGTGGCCATTTGGAGCTTCCTTTTTGTTTTCTTTTGTGGGATGGTTTACCTTTACCTTTTAGTTAATTCATTTTGATTTTGAAAGCCTTTGGGCTCAAGCAGATAAGTTATTTGCATATTAGATTGTTATACATGCTTAGTGTTGATCTATGTGATCACCTTTATGTACAGGGGCTCATTCAGATTCAGATCTTAAGGATATTGATCAGGTCTTGGTTGTTCCTGACACTCCTGATAGGGTGTCTAAACAAACTAAAAATGTTTCTAAGATTCCTAAACCTATGGAGGCTAGCTCAAGGAATTCTGCATTGACAATTAGGGGGAATATTGATAGAAGGAATCGACGTTTGGGTGATATTTACCATGCTTCTAGAAATTTTTCTCGTTCTGGGGGTAATCTTGGTGATGTTGCTCGAATTCAGGGTGCAAACAGCTCTTCTGTACCTTCTTCTAGTCTCAGGAATGCTCCATTATCCAGTACAGTAGCCAGCAAGACTTTGAAGCACAACGACAGACATAATTGTAACCATCAGCGCATGGAGGATGACAGAGTTTCACATTCTAGTCTTCCAGGAATATCATCTCACCATTGCAAAAGAAGTCAGGATAAGGGAAAGGTGAAGGTTGGTCATGATAATCCTGTCCATACCAATGCTTGGTCATTGAAAGGGGACAATACTATTTGCCTTGTTACTTCAGATCATGATACTGGGGAGGGTCTCTCTGTGCCACCTCACTCTTCCAGAGTACCTAGTACAACCAGGCAGAAAAGGTTTGTACGTAATGGGTGTATATCTCCACATAATATAGAAAAAACCAAAAGATTAGCAGAAACTTCTGGTAATGGATCTGAAAATGCTGAGTGTGCTGCAGAACCTGGTGGTTCTCGTCTTGTAATTGATGTTGGTGAAGTACCTTCCAAACAAAATGCTGCAAGTCAAGCGAAAGGAAAAGGGTTGTTGATTCCCGATTCTTCTCCAAAAGGCCATGCTGTCAGGTACTATTTTACACGGGTAACTAGTTCATGTGTAAGGCTATATTACCCTGGGTGAAAGGGAAAAAAAAATATTCAGAGAATTCAGTTAGCGCCTGTAAAGGAATTTCTTTCAATGATTACTCTATATGTTTGTTTGCTTTTCCCCCCAGAGAATAATATTGGGTTTGTGCAAGTTTTTTCTACAGTCTTAGTCATTTTACAGTTAGTACACTGTATTCCAGTTGCTGTCTTCCACATTAAAATCTTCTGAAGTATTGCCATTTTCCAAAGGTTGCATGAAATGTGAAGGCATTTGGATATGCTATGGGCAACCCAAATAGAACACACAATCCTCTCTTTAGATTGAATATGTGAGGGGCATTCACTTTATTGTTTGTATCATTATGTATGGGCCACAAAAAGCTAGACAGAATGTATGTAAAAACATTTTTTTTCCTGCTATATACGTGTAATAATGGACTGATTAAGATCACTATTTTACAGGAGAAGTGATGGTGGGAATTTTGTTGATGGAGGGAGCAAAAGGACTGAGAAGGACTGCATTATTGTACAACACACAAGTGGAAACCCAAACAAATTGGTTTTGGGCAAAAGCACTTCATCTTGTCCTTCAAAATCGTCTGAGCAAAAGCCTGTGCTTAGTGAGGGTCAGCTGCACACGCCAAGCTCAGTAGTTAAAAGACAAAGAAAGCATGACTTGAGTTTAGGAAGCCCAGAAAAACATGATGAGGTAATTTGCTTGAGTTCAGGTGGGGAATCATCAACCAGAAAGTCAGTAAGGGATCATGGTGGTTTTCCTCAGAGCGAATCAGGTTCTCTGTTAGCTGTTAATGGATTTTCTTCAGAAGTGGGAGAAAGTGTGTCACAAACTGAAAATGACTCTGAAGCTAGGGCAGTACAACTTCAAGTAGATGAGATGATGGCTCGTGAGCTGCAGGAACAATTATATAATGAGATTTCTGAACCTACTAGTGACGAGGTTTGTCTCATTTTCTCCATAAGTCTTTTACTCCTTTACATTTTGCTGTACCGGTTGAGCTCTGTTAATATTCTTTTTATTTTATTAAGTTTTTGGCCTGGGAGTGGGGTTTTTTTTTTTTAGGAATTTCAATTTATGCTATGGACATATTTGCTACAGAGATTTTCATCAGTTGGCTGGGTATTGCCGCAAGAAGATCGTGTGCATCCTGCTTATTTAAGAGGAAGTCGTCGTGCACATGCTTCTGTAAGTTTTACTGGCCATTTTCTTATCTGTATTAGGGCCATTTTCTTTTGTTCTGGAGATATCATTTCAAAATAAATCTTCCCTTCACTTCTACCACCACCCCCCAAACGTGTATCTAAACTATGCCCTTAGCGGTGTTTTTATACATCTATCTTGAGATCCATTCTGTTCTTTGTTTTCTTATAATAGTTGACAATTTCTTTTTTTCCTTTTTTTTTCCCTGTAAAACCTCTCTGAATTCTATTAGCTTAGTGAGAGGAAGTTGCTCACAACATATCATTTTTAGAGCTTGTTGGTTTTGTTACTAATGATGCATTATTGTCATGTCTTTTAATTGTTAGGCTATGGGAATTCCTCTATGTGTGTGCCTCTTCTTTTGCTTTGCACTTAATTGTGTGTAATGTACTAGAAATTCTTAATGTAAATTATCGAACAAGAAAAAATGTAAAAGATGAGCTTCAGTCTTTGATTAACAAAACGGTTACAAGGAAGATAGCAGGCCTGTTCAAATCACCTTATTTTCACTAATTTCAAGTTTAATAAGTTTATAATAGTTTAGATAAGTTAAAATAAGGTTAGTTCTAGAAAATAAGTTCTGATAAGGGTTACCCAAATTCAAATTACAACTAAAATAAGTTTTAATAAGGTTTGACAAGTCTAGATAAGTTTATATTAGTTAAATTCAGAACAAACCCTAGGCTATCACTCTCAAAGGTAGCTTGAGGCTACTGCTCTCAATAACAAAATGTCACTCACAAATCACATCTCAAAGGTAGCTTGAGGCTACTACTATCAATGACAAAATGTCACTCACAAATCAGATATCTTCCTACTACATAACTACTTTTTACTCAGCATTCCACATGGTACAAAGGGTAACCTAACACTAATGAAGTTTGTCTCTACTACATCTGAGTTTCAAGGCGATAAGGTTGCATAATTCATGTTGCTCCATTCCTTAGTGGATCATTAATCATTCTTGTCCACTAGTGCCTTGCTGTTGCTGCTTGTTTCCTTCGTCTTGGACATGAGCCACTTTTCCTCTCTTCTTCTGGGTGTAGACCTGCGATGGTGTTTTATATCAGGATGCTTAGTCCATTACATTGTGATTAAATGATTTACCTGTAATTTTTTGTAGGTAGCCGCTCCACCATCAATTCGACATCAAGCTTCTCAATCTCAGTCTTTGCGCAATCGTTTGTTCCGTCGAGGAGCTCAAGCACGGAGGCCACCGAGGCTAAGGAGTCATGTGTATCGCCATCCTAGAGGAAGAATGTTCCCTTCAGATATGGATGTCGACATGGTATTGTACTGATATCTTTTAGAATGTGTCTTTGTTGTCTGCTATTTAATTTGGTATCTTTTAGACTAAAATAGGGAACATGTCTTTGCTTGTGTTCTTTCTTTGGAAGGGATTTCCTGAAAGATTCAAAAAAATGGCTGTGGCTTCTTACAATCCTTGCCATAGAGATCTCTCCTCCAATTTTTTTTTTTTTTTTTTTGGAAATGCTCTGTGTACGCCTGTTGTGGGGTAATGTGTACCATCATACTGCAGAATTCTACAAAGTCCTGAGTAGCTTGGTACATATTCCGAGTTGGTGTCAAGCATGCTTGTATTTCTAATATTGATAAACTCTCCATCTTTAGAAATTATTATTATTTAACAAAAGCCTTTCTATGCTATGTAGAGAGTTGATTTACTAGAAAGATTGGAAGCTGTGGTCAATGATGATATCAGAATGGTCAATCAACTCCTTGATCCTGATCGTGAATTTGGAGAGTAAGTCCGTGTCCCATACTTTTCCATTTATAATAAGATATGTGACATATGTCTTGCGGTTTTTTTTTTTTAATAAATAAATTTAAACTTCTTTACTTGTATTGAAGTTGGTCACGTGGCATGTGTACTGAACTTTTTCAATCTGTAGAACGCTTTTTTCAATTATTTTAATACTACCATATATTCTTTCTTTTTTCTTTTCATTTATATTCTCATACTTCCTCTGTTTCATATTAGTTAACATGTTTCTTTTAGGTATGTTTGCCAATGCTTAACTTAAAACAATAGTACTTTTATTTATGTCCAGCAAAAAATTATAAAAAATTGGTATTTGGAGAATTGACATTAAGATGAATCAAAGAAGACCTCCCTGGACTTTGATTTAAATCACAAAATGAAGAAAATATAACCTATATGAATAGTGGGGAAAATCAAATCGTGTCAACTAAAATGGAACATAAAAGTACATGTTTAGGGCTTAATGTTCACCTTTCTTCGTATAGTTTCTGGGCAATAACCCTAGTTCAGCCTGGCTCCCAATGTTTTCTTGCTTAAATACATCTCCCTCCTTAAAAGTTCTTTAGAAAGAGTTTGTATACATCTAAGGCTCATTTTTTTTTTTTTTTTTTTTTTTTTTTTTTTTTTTTTTGACAATTTTAATGTATTTACATTTCTTTTCAAGATTTTTTTTTTCCGAAGCTTTATTCATTTTCTTGTGGGTAAAGGTAAGTATTATCTTACACTTCTAAAATATATGAAGAATTTCCATCGTACACTTATAAAATTAAATGCATAGATTATTTTCTTTACTTTCAAATCACTGCATTATTTTGATGAACGGGTTCCTTGTACCTTCATGTCAAACATGTGCATAACCTAAAAACAGAATAGAGGACTGGCTTGTATTATGCTTAAGTGTATTATCTCTTGTTTTTTAATGTACTGGGGATTGGGGCTAAGTAGTTATACATCAAGTGTTTTGATCCTGCATATTCTGTGCAGAGATGATTATGAAATGTTATTGGCTCTTGATGAGAACAATCATGCACATCTTGGCGCTTCAGTTGCTCAAATAGGGAACCTTCCAGAGTCCATAGTACATGTGAGTATATGTGATGGTGGACTTAATAAGATAAAGAAACTTTAGACCTCTACCTGCAACTCTCTTCACTAAATGTTCTTGTATATGTACAGAATGATGATTGCGAAGTATGTTCAATTTGTCTCGAGACCCCGGTTATCGGCGACGCCATGCGCCATCTGCCTTGCTTGCACAAATTTCACAAAGATGTAATATTTGCCCTATTGATGGCTACTTGCATTTCATTTTCGTAAAGTTGGTTTATTAGGACTGTCATTTTGAATTCGTGATTGTTTTCTTGGTCCTTTGGCAGTGTATTGATCCATGGCTGAGTAGAAGAAGATCATGTCCAGTTTGCAAGTCAGATATATGATTTATCTTTTTATCCTGTTTGATTGGTCCATCTTTTATGCATCGCCAACCCGCAGGCAATCTCATCATGACCATGAAGGTAAAGTAAATATCTAGGCCTCCATGTTTTTATTATGTTAAAGCTGGAGAAACCCATAGTATTTTGTGCCCAATATTTTGTTGATATATCAACAAATTCGCTCATGTAGAAAAGGTGATTTTGTGCAGGTAGATCAATTATTTGCAAATTGTACTCGGATAACCTAATATATTTGTGCCCAATATTTGTTGATATATTATAGTGCCCTTGACTAGTTATTTTTTATTGGAAAAGAGGATGGAGGCAGTAGGTTGATTAACTTGAGCAATCCAAGTGGACTAACTATAAATTGTATTCTTGAGCTTTGATGACAATTTCAGCTTGAAATTGCTTTTTTTCTTTAAAGAAAAATAATGCTTGAAATATAGGAAAACGATAACAGGGGAAACGAGTAGGAGATTGAGAGAATTTAGTGATGGACCTGTGTTGGGAAAAGAAGGTCAATGGGGTTATTTGTGAGGTGGTGGTGCTTGGGTGGGGGCATCAGGGGAAGAGCTAAATGGTGTTGCCAAAAAAAAGAGAGATCTAAGTTCTGAAAAAATAGGAAAAGAATAACAATTTACCTTTTTAATAGGCTCTAGTCACGTAGGGCCGATTTCAGAAGACACTCCCTAAAGTTGGGATTATACATTATAGCTAGTTAATCAATTATTGGGCTGTTAAAAGACAGGGTATAGTTGGGAACTGTTAGTTTTAATTTTCCTAACTGAAGAGATTTGGTTTAAAATCACTATAAATTGAGCTGATCTGCTGTACGTTGATTGTCTATGCTGTGGTTTCATTGCCAGACTGATGGTATTATGCTATGACAAAAATAGAATAGCATAGAATCTCATCAAGGCCTCATTTGGTCTGTTTCTGTGAATAAACGGCTATTAAAGTTACCGTGTTAGGAATAGTATGTTAATAAAAAAAGGCTTTAGTATTAGGAATTGTATGCTTTTATAAACAGGCTTTATGCACTAAATTCTTAGTATTTCTTTGATTGCAACTATGGCTGATTGATCTTTGGCTTTGTTTACTGTAAACTCATATTCACATGTCTTAATTGTAGAAGCTTGGTGTTTTTGAGCCTTTGAGGCAGAGACAAGATCCCGTCTTCTACTTGTTCGAGTTCTTGTTGATCGAGTATAGCAAAGTTCACTGAAAAGCTGTAAGGCTCTACTTATGGATCGCTTATAGTATTGTGCTGTTAGTTTTTGTGCCTTAACCGATATGAAGCTGATACGAGCTTCAACTGTTAGAAAAGTTCGCCCAGAGGTCCGTATTTTATTGGGCTTTTTGATACTGCCACAGCTTCTTTGTATAGCTTTCAAGAAGCTGAGGGTGATATTTTAAGCTCCTGGCTCAGCCATCACTTCTTCCTGTTGAGATCTTTTGAAAAATTGGACCTATTTTGGTCAATTAATTGATTTGATAGCTAAATTTGGAAAATTAATTATCTTCCTGGTTTCTATGATTATTAACATTTTTCATCAAGGTTTTTTTTTTTTTTTTTTTTTTTTTTTTTTTTTTTTTTTTTTTTTTTTTTTTTTTTTTTAGAATAGCTCATAAAGGTTAATTTAGTTATTCAAATATATGATAAAATCAGTAAATTTATGTCCTCATGCAATACTCACAGGTGGAATAAGAAGCTCAACACTCTAGAGTAGCCAATAGGAAATTCCAGTGTTTCATAAATTCCTCTGTATAATCTCTATAAATTAATCTGTAGTATCAACTAATATTCAATATAATTAATTTAGTCATTTTTTTCCTAATAAACAAAAGTAACATCATTAGGTGTATAATTAGTGAATTTTTTTTTTTTGATACAATGTATAATTAGTGAATTAGTAACATCAATTTTAATATACTTCGTGATTTATTATTGAATTTTAAGTATCTTAATTAGTTCGACTTAAATTCATTTTATACTAAAAATAAAAAATAAGAAAATAAAAATAAAAAAAACTATTGTATTGAAAGGTTAAGGGCTTGTTCTCTTCAGCTTAATTTTGGTTCTGTTCAGTTCAGTAAATCAGAACAGGCCTTAAGTTGGCTACTAGAATTAGGTAAGTCAAACCAATGCACGAGTCACATTCATGTGTGTGGCCAAAATGTGTTGTGTCCCTCCACGGATCCACATTCTATCTTGTGAGTCGAGGAAGTTTCACTCTATCGCTTAGAGTGGATTAAAGAGTTTATTCTCATGCATGTTCTCCTCCCAAAATATCATCTTATATTGTCAAAAATTATCTAAAATACCCTCATATACGACCATTGAAGATTAATCTTAACAATGTTACTAGCTAATAGTAGTGGTGGATTCTACTTCTATATAATAATTGAAGAAGCATTCTCCCAACATTAAAAAGGACTATAGTAAATGGTCAAAAAACAAGGATAATGGGGATGTCACAAGAGATGCCAACAGCCCATTATCTAAGGACAAAGTATGGCAGCATCTTCTCAACTTTCATGCCTCAAAATTATGGGTTATCATACTTTGCACCTCTTATTTGTCATTTTGCATATGATAGTTATAACTCATAGCTACCTCGTCTCTTTCATGACTATCACTCCTTTGGATAAGTATATAGATGAGTCCTTTTCTCATTTTCGGTGTGATTTTATCACAAATGGTGTTACAAACTACGAAGTAGTTAATTTTATTGAAAAATAAAGTGTATAGTCACATTATATATACAAAAATGGATATGTTAAGTCACATTATATGTACAAAAATTAATACGAAGTAGATATTAGTTCTTTTTCTCAATTTATTGTGATAATGTGGTGGAAGTAGTTCCATCCCATTTATTGAGAAATTTTAGTTACATAGTAACAAGAAAACAATGTATCACAACTCTCATCGGTGAAGTTTAATATGGTCGTATAGGTATGTAGTATAGATGTTGGACACTACGAAAAATACTCCGTGTTTTAATAAGTGTTACACTTTGACCAAATATGCATGTCGATGTTTAAGTTATCTAATTATATGTTAGTAAAATCATAGGAAATTTTTTAATATGAAAGTATACATTACAACGATTTCAACAATGTATCATACAATAATATTTGTTTTTTTTTATATATTATTGCGTAGTAAATTAAGCAAGTCAAAACAATTATGTGTTTGTAAAAAAAAAAACCATTATATGAATAGTGAAAAAAGTTAAATTGTAATACTTATTAAAACACGGAGGGAGTAAGTCTTATTTTATGATATTTCACATAGTATTAGAGTCTTATGATGAGTTGGTACTTACTAATAATGAGTTAAAATAAGTTTCATCTCAAGCAATTGCAAAGGTTAGGTGGTATAATATAGAAGAAGAGGTTGAGTCAATTGATTAATTAATCAAGACGGGATACAAGTGGAAGAATAGTTCGTTCAAGTTGTTCAAGATTATCTCACTCAATCAAACATAATCCTTAATCATTAACGTGTGTATTATGTACTTAGTATATACTTAAACTCCCTAAAAAATTATTACCTTAAATTAGTTCTATAATAAACCTTTGTTAGTTCTATAACAATAGTTAGGAGAAATCATTAAAATGTGGTTAGTAAATGACAAAATAAAAAGGGGTAAAATATTGGGTCCAAGAAAGATTAGCCGCTTGCCACTAGAAGACATGACCGTAAACACATGCTCACATGGGTTAGCAATCTATCTTAGCACATGAGAATAGAATAATAGATGTATCAATTTCACCAATAATTTTTACATTATTTCAACTACTCGTACAAAAATCATTCGCTTTCTATTTCTAAATAAAAGTCTCATTTTTCTCATGCATTTACTTAATAAAAGTGGAATCATAAATTTGTAATAAGGTATTGTTAATTAAAGATGGATAAAAGGAAGATAATAATAAGAATATATTACCATTTTTATCAGAATTGAAAGGAAAAAAAAAATTAAACAAAAAAGTGAATTCAGAGAATATTATTGATTGATAAAATAAAGAGTAAAGGATGAATGCCACTTAAGACCTAATTATAGTGAGCTTTTATTTCAAGATAAGAATTTATTTAAAAAATTACAAAATGAGATTTTTATTTAGAGACAGTTAAATAAATGGTGTATGGTAAAGACATAAACTATTATGCAATACTCTTTTATGCAAAACAAAAATTCTATAACCATTAGGAATCATGATGTTAATGTTTTTTCTTCCTCTTATTGGACCAATGATCATTAATTCTTTTTTTTTTTTTTTTAATAATTATTGGCCCCTTAAAATTGGAACCACTATACTTGGTATATTAATTGTTTGTACATTGAAAAATAAATCCAGCTGAATAACGGAATATTTCAATGTTAGCAACTAACTAGCTAGCTAGGTTGATTAAGAGAAACTTAATGATATGGTATATATTCCATGTACGTTGCCATGTGCTATGGAAATCTTTCTAAGATTATACGAAAACTAGAAATTTATTTTTCATGAATGTGACAAATTTTGGAGCTTAATTATTTTAGTTTCCAAATCGGTCAACTAATATCATAATTAATTATATACATTGATTGATAATTCATCAAGGTATGTATCTTATTATGAATTCATGATATAGAGTTGAAGTAAATTTTGAAAGTCAAACGTGAATTTGAAGAGCTAAGTTATGAATAAAGCTTGGTTATAAACAAATTGTGTTCATGAACAAGACTCGATTAATGAACAAGTTGTTCACAAGACATGCTCAAAAGCCTCAAAAATTAGAATTCAATTGATCTGAAAGCTCGGACTTGATCTTGTACTAGCTAAGCTAATTACTCGTACAACGCATGCATGCATTTTATTGATGCCGGTGTTCTATATACTTCATTCAATTCGTATGTATATATTACATATTAGATTTGAATTTTTCTTATATATCGATAATTTCAATGTTAAGTTGCGTACAATAATAATACATTATATAAGTATATGGTATGTTGTTTAACACCAAATTCTCTTCTAATGGTAAGTTTGATTTTTATGCCTTAACCCTCCCAAATAAATGGAAATAATAGAATAACATGTACAAAGTAAATCTAAATCTAAATTCTTGACTACTAGAAGGGTAGATTCACTCCTTAGAGACACAACTTATCTATTGTAATTAGGATCTTGTTCTTGCCTCAATAAATAAATAAATAAATAAAGGATCTTGTTCATCAGTTTATTTATAGTTTGTTCATCAGTTCATGTATGTGAATTAAGAAGTACATTTATTTATTTTGGCTTTTTTGTAATAATATTTGTAAATGGAAAAAATTACCCTTTTTATTTTTAGATAAAATTTGACATTACGATATAGTTGGACATTTTGTACATAGGTCAGTCGGTTCGTATATATCTTTATGTACATCTAAGAATCCAGAGTACCTAGTCGATAGATCATGTAGTTTTGTTGCATTGTGCATAAAGTAACGGCTTTATTGTATTTATTATTAGTCAAAAACCATAGAAAGATTCATGTATCTCTTTCTTCCATGCAAAATCTCAACATATCCTTATTTTATTCTACCAATTATAGGATTGGCTGTTGGATCTTTCTCCCTCATTTTTCCAATGAAGCATATGCAAAGTACAAATTATACATATTTTAATCACAATTTTAAATAATATCTTTGTATAAAACATATATGAAGCATAAAAGGCCGAAAAAATAAGATATACGTAGTATAATGTTTGAGTTTGAAGATACAAATCATGAGATATAACTAGTTATGAAGTATCTCTTGTTCCTTATAATTTGAACTGCTCAAGACCTTATAAAAAAAAATTCTTTTATGGAAGTGGCTATTAATGGTTGTAAATAACATAATAATCCATGTGTTGTTCTTGAATCTTGTTGTTAACTTGCTCACACAAACTAATATCAAAAAATAAAAAACAACAATTACATACGTACCTAATTATTATAGGGATTTGTTAAACATCGCCCACAAATTACTACATAAAGCCCACAAAATTCACTTGGTTTGCCAAAATTGCCCTTGACCTTAAAAAAAAAAACACTCACACTCTCATCACTCACACTCTCATTGCTCATCTTCTTTCAACCTCTCTAAAAAAAAAAAAATTTCAAATAACGGCAATGTCGAGGCGGCAAGGCAAGGAAGTGGCGGCGGCGGCGGAGGGAAGGATGTCCCAAGGAGGAAAGGTACATTTTGTTTAAAAAAAAAAAAGAAAGGGAAAAACCGCCGTGAACGCGGTGGGGCGCCCTGGCTGGACGCCCAGCCAGCGGTGGTGGCGCCAGATGCAGACGCCGCCACCAGTTGGCTGGCGCCTGGGCTGGACGCCAAAGCCACGGTTGTGGCGTTAATTCTAGGCGCCGCAGCCGTGGCTTTGGCGTCCAGCCCAGGCGCCAGCCAACTGGTGGCGGCGTCTGCATCTGGCGCCACCACCGCCGGCTGGGCGTCCAGCCAGGGCGCCCCCCCCCAATTTTTTTTTTTTTTTTATTTTTTTAAAAAATTGTTTTTAATTTTTTTTTTTT